CGGCGGCAGGCATGTCAGGGCAACGGCGGGAAGACCGGGGCGGCGGCGGGGACCACGGGCCGTGGCGCTACAGTCCGAAGGGGCTGGCGCAGCGGCGGAGCGCGGGTCGGTGCAACTGCAGGGATGGCCTCGGGGCGAAGGCGAGGACCACGTATCGCGACACTATGGCCCGAAGGGGCGACGCGGCGGCGACGCACGAGTCGATGCAGTCGCGAGGAGAACCACGGGGTGGCGGCCCGACGGCGTGACGCAGCGGCAGCCCGATGCTCGATCGGCGGAGAGGCATGCGGTACTCGGGACGATCTTCACGGGACCTGCGGAGGCGCGCGTAACCGACGGGCCAGGTCGGTCGCGTGGTGTAGATGAGGCGGATCGCAGCGGCGAGTGGGTGATCAAGCCGATCGCGCGCGAGGTCGGGACGCCGCTCGGTGGAGGCGGGGTGGCGGCGGAGTCCGAGATGAAGCCGGCGACGCCGGGCGGCATGGCGACTATGATTGGCCGCCGCATGGCGCAAGGCCGCTGGTTCGGGATGATGCAGGAGTCCCGGTCAGAGTAGAGCGGTGACAGCCGGCGTAGATCGACGGGCGAGCCAGCGCGTGAACAGCGGCGGTGAAGGGCCACCGCATGACGCGAGGCCGCCAGGTTGGGGTGACCGGCGGGCAAACGCGCGGACGACGCACGAGGCCGTCGGGTCGGGGCGACGGGCGGGCAGAGACGCGGACGATGCGCGAGGTCGTCGGGTCGGGGCGACCGGCTGACAGACGCGCGAGGCCGTTGGGTCAGTGAAGAAGCCGGCCCATCGCATCGGTGTTGGAGTAGAGGCGGGGCGAGCCAGCGCGCGAACGGCGGCGGTGAAGGGCCACCGCATGATGCGAGGCCGCCGGGTCGGGGCGATCGGCCAGCAGACGCGCGAACGACGCACGAGGCCGTCAGGTCGGGGCGACGGGCGGGCAGACGTGCGGACGACGCGCGAGGCCGTCGGGTCGGGGCGACGGGCGGGCAGACGCGCGGACGATGTGCAAGGCCGCAGGGTCAGGGCGACCGGCGGGCAGACGCGCGGGGCCGGGTCGGTGAAGAAGCCGGCCGATTGCGTAGGTGTTGAACTAGAGGCGCATGGTGTTGGCGGTGGCGATGGGCGACGCAAACCGATCAAGATTTGATCGGAAAATATAAAAAAACTGTCGATCAAGATGACCGGTGGGAGAGAGAAAACCCCGAAGGACAGTGAATATACACGATGAACATGTTCTTATACATAATGAATATTTTTTCCAATGCATGGTGAACATTTTTCTTCAATATGGAAAACTTTTTTAACATGATAATTTTATTTGGAAAGTGAACAAAATTAGAATTTCAAACTTTTAGGTTCTAGCATCGAGTAACCCGACCAACTCATGCACCCGTCGGTTCTGGCATTTTATTACGTTTTCATTTTACTCATTCAATACATGCCATGGTTGATGCATTTCCTCTTGACCAGCATCCTCCTAGTCTTCTTTATATACTAGAGCTCCACCAACTAGACGCTAGAGCAAGCCCCTAAAACACGGGGCAGACGTGAAAACCCCTAAAACACAGGGTAGACATGACGCAACGTGCGTTTGGTGTCCGAATTCATTCAATTTTTGCATGGGAAACTACCATTTGATGTCATTACGTGCATGGCAACAAATACACCTTGTTCGACCGTGACCGTTCGGGTCTGCCGATAGTGCAAGTCTTGAAGCACTTTTTTCACCTACACCAAATGTACCCAAAATTTTCCCACATAATGGCATCACCATGGCCAACATGCAGGGCAAGTTTCATTCATTTATGGCATTCTATGTATTTTCTATGGTTTTCCATATGAAAAAACCCTAAAATACAGGCCTGGCATGCGGAACATGTTTGTTGTCAGAATTTATTCATTTTTGTGTGGGACCAGAGCTGCTCCAATGTTGTGTCGGGCCCCAATTTCGCGTATCCATTGGCGGTGATGTGCCACTCCTTCGGCAGCCGTGTCGGCGATGGAATGAGTAGTTCGAAGCGGCTCAACTCTGCATGCGGCCACGAGAGAGTTGACGGCCAAGATCGACCGTCTCGCTGTCGGATCCAAAGCTCGCCATCGAGAAGAGTAAGGGCGACGGGGGTCTGAGCACGTTGTTTCTTGACATCCTTGAAATGGCCCCAATTTTTTTTCATGGTCATGTATGACCAATTCAAGGCACCATACCAAGTTGTTTGGATTTTCGACATGTTTTGTATTTTCTAGAGTTTTTCGGTGAAAGAGACCGATAAATGACCAGACGTGTCGCAACTTGCATACGGTGTCAAAAATCGTTCAGACTTGGCACTGATGCCTACCATGGGAAATGTCCACATTCCAAAGTTGATGTCAGTTGAAGGATGTCCAAAATTAGACCATGTTCGACAAAGGGTGTCTGATAGGCCAGAAGGCTCCGCCTAAGAGCCTTTTTTTCTCAACATCCTTAAAATAAATTCATCAATTTGAAAAAAAAATCATGAATTTAAGAAAATGAAAGAGAAGAAGAAACAAATAAAAATAGAAAGAATAAAACTGAAAAAAGGCCAAACAAAAGAAAAAAATAACAGACCAAGAAGATGCACAACAAAAAGAATAAAAAAAAGTAATTAGACACAACAAGTTAGTTGTCCTAATTGGTTAAAGTTGGTGAAGTAATCCAAGAGGTCCATAATTTGAATCCTACTTCGTGTATCTTTTTTTGAAGGTTAAAAAAGAAAAGAAAAATGGACCAGACCCAGGACAGAGGGGTGTGTGCGCCAGTTTGTGTGACGCTACTCCCTGTAGAGCGGGTGCGCCTAGTCACCACTTGCTGCACTAGTTAGCGGATGCAGCGCTCACACCATCTTTCATGGTCCGGCCCAACTACATGAGTGATCAGTTGTCACTCGTCAAGAGCATACGCCTGATCGCTTCTTTGTGGTTTGACCGAAAAAACTTCTTTATGGTTGACCTAGACAAAAGGTTGACCATTAACATTAAAAAATAGTTCATCTTTTTGGAAAAGTTCATGGATTTGAAAATTTTAGTAGATTTGCAAAATGTTCACAAATTAAAAATACCATCAATTAAAAAATGACGGATTTTGGAAAAAATCATAGATTTGAAAAAAGTTAAAAAACTTAAAAAGTTGACAAAATTTAAAAAAAAGTTCAACGATTTTGCAAAAAAGTTTAACAATTTTTTAAAAAGTCCATCGATTTTCAAGAAGGAAAAATCATCAACTTTGAAAAATTCAATCATTTTGAAAAAGGTTCATCAATTTAGAAAAAAAGGCTCATCGATTTTGAATAAAGTTCAACGAATTTAAAAAAAAGCTCATTGATTTGTTTTAAAAAATAAAACTAAAGAGGTTTGCACATTACAAAAGAAAAAGAAGAAGAAAAAGGAACAGAAAAAAGAAAAAAAGGAACATTAAAACGGAACAAAAGCGTTT